CCCCCCCCCCCCCCCGGGCCCAGCTGACTTGAAGTTGATCACTCCTGGTCCCACCCCATGGTGGTACTTGCCACTCCCATGTGGAGCTCTGACACAGCTACCTCCTGTTCCTCCCTCTTCGCTGCGCTGCCCTGAGCTCTCTGCAGATGTGGCTCTGCTCTTGAGCTTGGTGGGGAATTGCTTTTCCCTGCTGAGGCTCCCTGGCAACCCTCTCCTCCCAGGGCTCAGGCTCCCTGTTCCTTCTGCTGGGATTCCTCAGCAGACGCTAAGCTTCCCCTCCCTGTGCTCAGGGCCAATGCTGCCTGGCCCTGCAGCCAGCGTCTCCCGGCCAGCATTCCGCTCCTCTCTCCCTAGCCAGCTGATTCCCTCTCCAGTTGCTCTTTGAGGAGCCCGCGCTTCTCTGAAGCACCGCCCCTGGGGCTCACTGATTCGCAGGCTCAGGCAGTTCTGGAACTGCCGAGCCTGCATCAGCATTTCTCCACAGCTGCCGCTTGTCTTCGTCCCTGTGGTGAGTACCGGAGCTCATCAGGCAGGGTCTTGGGACATGTTGAGGGGGCTTTTGCCTCCCCTCTTGCATATTCCCCCCCTTCCCCCCAAGACGCCGTCAGGTGCTCTTCCATTATTACCTGATGTCAAATGTGCGGATGGCGATGCTTTCCCTTGAAGATCTTGAGGGTCCTGTGGTGTGTCCCTTGAATGGCAGCGGGACAGAAAATCAGCTACCACATTATTTTTCCCAGGTTTGTGTTCTGTGGAGAACTGGAATGGCTGCAGTGCCCAACATGTTATCTTAGTGTTATCAGTCCTGGCTGACTTTAGTCATTTCAAAGGAGCACGGTCAGTAGTGACTGTGAATTCTCTGCCAACTAAATAATATCGAAAATACTCTACCCCGCATTTCAGGGCTAAACACTCCCTCTCAATGGTGGTGTACCTCCTTTCCTGGTCGTTGAGTTTCCTGCTGGCATAGGCTACTGGTCTTTCTGCCCCCTCCACTTTCTGGTATAAGACTGCTCCCAGTGCGTTGACCTGCAGAACAAAGGGCATTGAAAAATCTGGTGTGTGTAGCACTGCCTCCCTGCAAACTTCCTCGAAGGCCCTTTGTTCCTCTTCTAGATTTATGACTCCGCTTCCTTTCCCTTTGCAGGGTTCACAGCCCCCCTCACAAATCCAATCAGAATGGGGAATAAACCACTTATAGTAGCTAGCTAGGCCTAGGAATGCCCACATTTGTTTCTTTGCTTGTGGAATCTCGTACTTCTGTATAGCGGCCACTTTATCAGCTAAGGGTTTGATTTGGCCTTGCCCCACTAAGAATCCGATATATTTCTTCTCGGCTTGCCCCAGAGTACATTTCTTAGGGTGGGCCATCAGGCCTGCCTGCCTCAACTCCTGTAGTACTGCCTGCACTGCCCATAGGTGTTGGTCCTATGTTTTGGTATAAACTACAATGTCATCAATATATGCAGCTGCGTACTGGTGATGGGGCGCACCTGTAAATGTCTCCCCAATAATTGGCATGGTCTGGAGTGGCACCTTGGGGGTTTCTTTAGGCTCACCCGCTAGCACTCGAGACAGCACAGAATTGCTGTATGTCTCGGTAGAGATGTGGCCAAAAGAATCTCTTCCCACCAACCTGGCTACCATCTTCTCCTGGCCCAGGTGACCCCCAAGAGGGTTGGCATGAGCCACCAGACGAATTTGTTATGGCTACATTCAAGGCACTCTTCTCACCTCACAACAGGGTAGTTGATCACAGAGTTCCGGTTGGACCACCTGCTGGTCGTGCCTGGCAATCTCCATCTCCCAGATGGCCTGAAATACAGGCTCTGCCCATTGGGCATCCCGGAACTGGGCTCCACTGGGCCAGAGGGCCCCTTCTTCCTCTCCCTGTTCTCCCAGAGCTTCTTCCCCCACAAGCCTCCCTGGGTTCATTGGTTCTCCAGGATCTCATAGATCTCTTCAGGTAGGGTAGGTCCGATGCTACCCCCATGGGCATCACCCTTGCGCACTCACTTGGATCTTCTGCCTGGGGTATATGGAGGCCTGTCCATGTAGGCAAAGCATTTTAATGGGGTTGGCGCTCACCCCTTCCTCACAAGGCACCAGGCCAGCTTTAACTAGCATCTGGTCACACCCTGTATTGAGAATGGTGCGGACTGCTCGCCCCACTACCACGACCATCGCCGTGGGCTTGTCTCAGTGGACTGCTTCTGCTGTAGTACCCAGGCTGCAGTCCATCATCTCCACTGGGGAAAACTCTTGCAGTGCGGGACAGTTGCCTCATCTATCCCTTTGTCTGTCTAGTTCTGTGGCCAGGAGCCGTGGGTTTATCACGCACTCCCATGTGAAGTGACCCCCTCTTTGCACAGTGGAAACAAGTCAGTCACACCAGTGAGGCTTGGGTGGGAGTCCTACCCTTCCAGTCTACCCACCTTTTGCTAGGTCTAGAGCTCACTGATGCCCCCAACTTGTCCCCCTTCTCTCAGGGTATCTCACTTTGGGCACAGTCAAAATTTTCTACCAATTGTAGCGCCTCCTGCGATGTCTTGGGATGATGCCACTGCATCCACCTCTGAGTATCCTCTTCCAGATCCACAAGGAACTGTTCCAGCAGGAAGGCATCCATGATCTCTCTTGATGCCTGGGCTGGTTGGATCCATCATTCCTGGAGATCTGTTAATTTCTGGAGGAGGACCCAGGGAGCCTTGTCCTCCTTTCGATTACGGAACATCTGATGATAATGCTCAGGAGTAATATTCAGGCGATACAGGATCTGTTTCTTCACATGGTTGTAGTCTTGAGCTGTGAGTCGTGATGGCACCCTGTAGGCTACCTGCGCAGGGCCCATCAACAGCACTCTGACCTTTGTCCACCTGGATTTGTCCAGGCCTGTGGCCATTGGGGCCTGTTTGAAGCTCTCCAGGAATGCTTTGGAGTCATCTTTAGCCGTCATTTTTGGGATTTTTAAATCCACCGTGTTTTGACTCATCAGCTCTTGCTGCTTCAGCATTTGCTCATCCAAAGCCATTCGTTGGTTCACTTGCTGCTGTTGTTGCAGGATCTGCGCCACGAGGTTTAGGGTCTGCTGCATGGCCTCCATTCCTGCCACAGGCCTTGTCTGTGCTTCCATAGCCTGACTGAGCCCTGGGATGGGTTCTTTGTCCCTGGCCAATGCACCAATTTGTCGTGTTATAAAGCTTTGGCCCCTTTCTGGTGGGTGCCTTGTTCCCTAGCAACGTCAGGGTGAGACCAGGCTCTGATGCCACCTAGATGGTTCAGGTGCTGCTCCTACTTGGTGGCCCCAAAGGGGTCTTGACCCTGGTCTTTTCTTTATGGGGCTCCAAACCTCCCCTTTACCTCACCCTTACCACATCCTGAGGGAGTTAGCCGTCCCTCGTTGCCTCTACCTGAGCTCTTTGACACAGCTGTGGCTCCGCTCTTGAGCGTGGTGGAGAATTGCTTTTCCCTGCTGAGGCTCCCTGGCGACCCTCTGCTCCCAGGGCTTGGACTTTTCGTTCCTTCTGTCGGGATTCCCCAGCAGATGCTCAGCTTCCCCCTCCCCATGCTCGGGGCTGATGCTGCCTGGCTCTGCAGCCAGCATTTCCTGGCTGGCGTTCCATTCCTCTTTCCCCAGTCAGCTGACTGCCTCTCCAGCTGCTCTTTGAGCAGCCCGCACTTCTCCAAAGCCCCACCCCAGAGCTTACCAATTTGCAGGCTCAGGCAGCTTCGGAACTGCCGAGCCTGTGTAGGTGTTTTTCCGCAGCTGCCGTTTGTCTTCATCCTTGTGGTGAGTACCAGGGCTTGTTGGGCAGGGTCTTGGGACATGCTTTTGCCTCCCCTCCCACACTTACCCTTTTTTAAAATAAATTTTAGAGTAATGCTTGTGCTTTAATTCTGTAACAAACAAATAGAAATGGTACGATGAACTTTTTTCTATCTCTTAGAGAACACTTGGGCATACAATCTTAAGATTTTGAAATATGGGTACTGAAAATTAAGTGTCTAAATTTAACCAGACAAGGTTCTTTGGGTAAATGTGATATCTTTTGAGACCAGCTAACTAGATGGAAAAAAGTTCTTTGCAGGCTTTCAGGCACAAATACCCTTTTTCAGACAGAGAGTCTCCCTGTGCCTGAAGAAGGGTGTTTGGGCCCCAAAGCTTGCAAAGAACAATTTTTCCAACTGGTTAGTTGGTCTCAAAAGAACCTTGTCTGCCTATGTCCTTAGACCAACACGGCTACAACCAACAACCGTAAGGCATCTAAATTAAGACACGTACACCTGATTTTTTTCCCCAAACAATTACCTATTATGTTCCAATTAGGTTAATTTTTCTTTTAAAGAACAGAGAGGGTGTTTGTCATTTTTTGGAAATATTGGTTGGTTTTCTAAACGTCTTCCAAAATTAAACATCAGTTCTTTTGTAATAAATGAAGATTTAATTTATCCTGCTGCAGGAGACGTGACATGACTATATTTTTGTTCTCTTTTTTTTCTTTTCTAGGATCGCTATGGTTCTTAACCAGTTGCATATTGGTACACTAAGGAAGAGTTTCTCTTCAGACATGTCATTAATCCCATTGCTGATTTCAAATGAAGGCTGCCTTAGGGCTGTAGAATATTTTACCATTCATTTGGCTATCTTTGTGTCCCATATGACTTTTTGGCGCTTAGCATTTTTTTTCACTGTTAGTTTATTTTAAGAAGCAAAATCCTTGTAATAGATTGTTACAGCACTTATTCTTTTGTTTCTTTATAATGTTTTATCACTTAGTGCCCTTAGCATTATGTAAAGAACATTTTTCTCTCTATTTGCAAGTTTGCTGTAGACTGTGGATAAGGCACTTAAATTGAAAGATGAGATTTCTGGATAAAAATCTTTGCATGTCTCTAGTTATCTTTAGTTGCAATATAAACTTGGCTACCGACTTTTGTGGCCTTTGGAGAAGTTTTAAGTAAGACATGCATTGAGATGGTGTTTAGTAAATTATAGCAAAGTATAGGAATTGATTTGGAACTGTCAGGAAATAGCTCTTAATTAATTAGCTCTGGATGAAAATGACAGGACAATAGGATCTTAAAGCACTATTCCCTGTAGAAAATCTTATGCTTAGTATGAGATTTGTGGCCTATAGATACTTAGGGTTTAAGTACCAGATTTTCATTTAGTCACGGGAACTATTTATTCATAACTGAGAATTATTAAAAATAGCAAGAGACTCAAGTACTTTTAAACAATCAATCTTATGTACAAATAAACAAAAATTGAAGGAAATATAATTTCTGGGCCAAATAGAGTAGATAACTGTATATTTAGTTTGTTACATATTTTTAGTATAATCTTAAAGGGTTTTTTTGATAAATTACGAAGTATATGAATAAGAAATGTAGTGGGGCTTCTTTTTAGACGGGCTAGACCTTGACAAAAATATGTATTATAAATTTTATGTACCTAAAAAAATCAGAAGTTTAGTTCTAGCTGATTCTGTTCTGTAGCTTTATTACTTAAACAATTCTCAAATTTGTAATCTGCTCATACTAATAAAAACATTGAAATACCTAGACCTTTTATTGCAGCTTTCTTGATACCCTATGTTCTGACTTTTCTTGTATAGAATTTAAAATCTAATGTTCAGATAAGTTTGAAGTGTATTTTGCATATCAGTTTGCTGTGTTTGTTTAAAAAAAACATAACTGAAGAGGGAGAAATGGGCAAAGCTACAGTGTTAATAGCTCTGTATACTAAGATTTTAATATTGTGATTTGATTTAAATCAAATTATTTAAATTATGGTTTAGTCATGATCAGGGATCCAGGTTTTCTATTTCCCACGGAAAAATGGAGAAAACCACGGATTCCCTGTTTCTATCAGAGAAAGTGCAGATTTCCCTTTTTAGCAGAGAAATTCATGGATTCTCTGCTTTTGCAAAGAGCTCTTGTGGGCTGAAACAAGCCTGCAAGAGCTGATTGCAGAAAGGGCAGGAAATCCCCAGCCCTACCTGGACAGGGAGGGAGAGGGGGAAGACTGGGGCATGAGCCTCTGAGTCAGCCAAGGCTGGGCTCAGGCTTAGACTCGCCCTTCACCCCTGGATCCTAGAGGTAAGTGGGACCTGGGGGCTGTGGGGCAGTGCTGGGGAAGGTGGCTGGGGGCTGAGGGAGCGGGGGGTGCTGCCGACCTCAGGTGGCACACCACAGCCAGATGCAGGGCTGGGGGCAGGGGTGCCCCTCTGCAGGGGGCTTTACGGGCAAGCTATGTGGGGCACACGTGCCGCCTGGCTGGCTGCCCAGTGGAGGGGAGGCTGGAATGCGGCCGGCTGCAGAGCTCCGTGGCCTGCTCCACAGCAGAGGCAAGGCATGGTGGCTGCGGGCATGGGGGTGCTTGCAGGTGGCAGCTGCTGCTGCTTACCTGTGGAGCTATGCCTGTAGAGATGGCTGCTGTGTACAAAGCCTCCCAACGCCACTGTAGAGCCATGCCCGGAGCTGTGTGGCTGGCCACATGGGGCAGCGACCGTGTGGTGGTGGCCAGGTGTCATGCAGCCATCCTCACCACCATTCTGCACTGCACAACAGCCATGGCCGCCACCACAGTGCTGCTGCCGCCGGCCACACAGCTCCAGGCATGGCTCCTTGGTGGCAGTGGCGGTGCAGGGAGTTTTTGTACACAGCGGCCATCACCACTGGCACAGCCCCACAGGTAAGCAGCAGTGGCTGCTGTGTGCCAGGGATGACACCTGCTGCGTACAAAACCTCCCCACGCTGCCGCTGCTGCCATGGAGCCATGTCTGGAGCTGCGTGGCCGGCGGCAGTGGCAGTGTGGTGGTGGCTGTGGTTGACGCGTGGCGCTGGATGGTGGTGGGGATAGCTGCCTGCCACCTGGCTGCCACTACACTGCCACTGCCCCCTGTGGCTGGCCACACAGCTCCGGGCATGGCTCCGCAGTAGTGTGGGGAGGTTTTATATGCAGCAGCTGTTTCCACTGGCACAGCCCCAGAGGTAAATGGCAGCGGCTGCTGAGTGCAAACCGCACCCCTGCCTGTCCCCCCAGCCACCATCCGTTGCTGCGGAGCTGGCCATGGAACTGTGCAGCCGGCCACATGCCACTCTCCTCCTCCCCTGGGCAGCTGGCTGGGTGGCATGCATGCTCTGGATCCCTTACTCGTAAAGCCCCCTGTAGAGGGGCACCCCTGCCCTCAGCCCATAGCCCTGCACCTAGCTGCGGTGTGCCACCTGGGGCCCCATGCCCACAGCCCTCAAGCCCGAGTTACCCCTAGAATACAGGGGCAAAGAGCATGGCTTCGCAGTGGCAGCACTTGCCTATAAGGCCCGCCCCTGCAGCAAGCACGCAGCCGCCACCACCCTGCACCACCACAGACCCATGCACCTGGTCGCGGGGCATAAGCAGCGGTGCAGTGGTGGCCACTGCATGCAAGCCCCCCTTTCTACCCCCTGGCCGGGGGTTGCCATTGCACTGCTACGGCTGTGCCCTGCACCACTTGCCCACAAAGCCATGCAGGTGGCCATGGAGTGGTAGCAGAAGGGGTAGTAGCAGAGTTGAGGTGGTGGCCACCGTGGGTGAACACCCAGCTGGCACGTGTGTGGCTCGCAGAGTGGCACCGCTGCCCTCACCCTGTGGCCCTGCTCCTGGGAGTGGTCACAGGGGCACGCTCCCCCACTACTTCATATGTATCCCCAGCACCTTCCCTTTTCCCCTGCCCTCCCCCACACATACACTTAGCTAGTCAGGTGGGTGTCTGTGTGTGCCTCTGTGCCCAAGTGTCTGGGGGGTTGTTATGACAGGCATCAGAAAAGTGTCAAAGGTTAAGAGATCAGGTTGAGAGGTAAAAGGCCGAGGGGCCAGGGGTCAAGGTAAGTCGAGAGGTCAAAGGTCGAGGGGTCAGGAGGCAAGAGGTCAAGATGTTAAAGGTCGACGGGTTGGGTCGAGAGGTCAAAGGGTCAAGAGGTTGAGGGGTTGGGTCAAGAGGTCAAAGGTTGAGGGGCGAGGGGTCTAGGTCAAAGGTCAAGAGGCCAGGGGTCAACAGGTCAAAGGTTGAGTTGGGGGGTCAAGAAGTCAAAGGTCGGGGTCAGGGGTCAAAAGGTCAAATGTCGGGTCAAACATGAGGTCAAAGATCAAAGTCAAAAGTTGAGTCAGGTGTCAAAATCCCACAGGTCAAGAGGTCAAAGGTCATGGGATCAAAGGTCATGAGGTCAAAGGTCGAGGGGTCAGTGGATGAGGTCAGGGGTAGAGAGGACAAATGTCAAGACATGAAAGGTTGTGAGGTCAAACGTCGAAAGGACAAAGGTCATGGAATAGAAGGTTGTGAGGACAAAGATCCAAAGGTTGTGGGCTCAAAGGTCACGAGGTCAATGGTTGTGAGGTCAAAGGTAAAAAGGTCAACGGTCCTGAAGTCATTTCCGGGTTTTCCGGCTGACCGGGATCCGGTTTCTGGGTTTTCCAGCAGATTGGGCTCCGATTTCTGGCTTTTCCGGTGGACTGGGCTGCGGATCCACCCTGGCATGCGATTTCTGGGTTTCGGGGCGGACCGGGCTCCGGATCCGGCCCTGGGATCCGGTTTCCGGGTTTTGCGGTTCACTGGGCTCCGCATCCACCCCCAGAATCCGGTTTCCAGTTTTTGTGGCAGATCAGACTCCGGATCCGGCCCCCGGCTCTGGGTTCTGGGTTTTGTGCCATTCCAGGCTCCGGATCTGGGCCCTGGTTTCCGGGTTTTGCGCCTTTCTGGGCTCCGGATCCGGCCCCGGTTTCTGGGTTTTGCACGGTTCCGGGCTCTGGCCCCCTGCTCCGGTTTCCGGGTTTTGCGCCGTTCCAGGCTCCAGATCTGGCCCCGCCTCTGGTTTCCGGGTTTTGCGGCATTCCGGGCTCCGGATCCGGCCTACAGCTCCGGTTTCCGGGTTTTGCCGCGTTCCAGGCTCTTGATCCAGCCCCCGGCTCTGGTTTCCAGGTTTTGTGCTGTTCCGGGCTTCAGATCCGGCCCCCGGCTCCGGTTTCCGGGTTTTGCGCTGTTCTGGGCTCTGAAACCGGCCCCTGGCTCCGCTGTCTGGGTTTTGCGCCATTCCAGGCTCTGGATCCGGCACCCGGCTCCGCTGTCCGGGTTTTGCGTTGTTCCGGGCTCTGGATCCGGCTCCAGTTTCCGGGTTTTGCGCCGTTCTGGCTTCCGGATTCAGCCCCCCGGCTCTGGTTTCTGGGTTTTGCGCCGTTCTGGGCTCCGGCTCCGGCCCCCCAGCTCTGGTGTCTCTTCGCCCGGCCCTGGATCGTGAGGGTGGAGTTCAGGACACAGCTCTTCTGCCTGCCGCTGATGTGCAGGGAGGCGCACTTGGCGACGTTGAAGCACAGGCCCATCCACTTGGCTGCCTTGGATGTCACGTCCAGCATCTGCTGCAGCTGGGTGGTGTCGGGAGCAAGGAGGACGAAGTTGTCGGCGTAGGCGAGGACGCTCAACTTCTGGCTGTACAGGTCGAGCCTGCTGGGGCCACCCGCCACGCCTCAAAGGAGCAGTTCCATGGCCAGGCTGAAGATGATGGGGCTGAGGGGGCAGCCCTGCCTCAGCCCCAACTGGATGGGGATCTCTGTGGTCGCTCTGTCAGTGGCGCGGACCGTCATGGTGCATCCATGGTAGAGCTCTCGCACCAGGTTGATGACGCCATCCGGTAGGCCCAGCTCGCGGAGGGTGCCGAAGATGTGGCAGCGGGCACGGAGACAAAGACGTTGGAGATGTCCAGCCATGCCACCGTACACTGCTTGCTGGTCTTCCAGGCATTGTCCAGGGCCATCTGGAGGGTAAAGTTGTGCTCATAGCAGCCCTCCATCGACATGAAGTCCTTCTGGTCACCGCCCAGTCAGTGATGCAGGCCGTCAGGCAGCTGGCGTACAGCTTGGCCACAGTGGAGCACAGGGCGATGGGTCTCCAGTTGCCCGGGTCAGTCGGGTCTCCCTTCTTGTGGATGAGGACCATCATGGCCCTCTTCCAGGGCGTGCACCAGAACTCTTTGCACCTGTTGAAGAGAACAGAAAGAACAAGGCAGCCTGGGTCACGTTTTTTAAGGAGACCATACCTGATACCGTCCCTACCGGGGGCTTTGCCCCTGGTCCTCTTCAGGCGGGCTTCCACTTCCTGCACCATGAAGGCCTCAAACCCCTCTGCCGGGGGGCAGGGGTCAGCGCTTTGATGGTTGTGGGGTGGTGGCTTCTGCCTGGGGGTTGAAGACCCTGCTGAAATAATTAAACAGAGTCTCCTGGGGGACCTGGCAGAAAGCCAAGGGTCCCTCCAGGATCTCTCTCACTGCCGTGGGACAGTTGGCCCGGTACACCTTCTGGATCCAGGAGGCTGCCGCTGAGTTGTAGCGCTGGCGCCTGGGTCACCTCTGTGGCTGCGGTCTGTGGTCTCGCTGCGTCGTCGGTCCACTGTTGGTGCTCCTCCGGGGTTGGCCAGGCTGGGCGGCTGCTAAGAGCTCTTCTGTAAGCCAGGCCACCAAGGCCTCAAAGGCCTCGAAGGTGGTGGTCCGGGAGAGCTCCTCCAGCCAGAGGGTTTTCCATGGGGTGGGCATCC